GGTTAGCGAGTATGATATAAGAATACCGGTACATCTATGCCAATGCTTATTGTTAGGGAATTGTTATCTGGACCTCACGCTATACTAAGATAGGAAGGTAAAACCAGTCAGGTAATTATCAAACCGCGCTAGTAAACCCCTTTCAAATGTATATATATGATATTCAATATAAAAACTGCTTTCTAAAGCTCTATAAAAAGTGCTTAAAATGGACGATTATCTTGATGGTTTTGAGAATACTTTCTCTGATGAGTCAGAGCCCGAGGATGAAATGAAAACAATGATGTTACTATCCCGGCACTGCCTGTATATCAGTCATTCAGCTCAGTTGACGAGGCCTTTGACTCGCTGGAGGCGTTTGGTCTAATCAATGGCTTTGTAGTTATTCAGCATCGCTCTAGAAAGGATCCGAGAACAGGAAATCTTAAATATATTAATATAATCTGTGATAAAGGCCGTATAGCGGAGAATCAGTCCCAGGGAATCCGTATAAGCCGGTCTCGCTGAATTGACTGTCCCTTTACTGCTCGGCTTAAGTTCAATAGCCAATTCGAGAGGTGGTCCCTGACTAATGAAGAAGCTACTCATAATCATGGCCCAGTGGCTATATTAGTACTCCCTGCTCACCGGCGTAGTGAGCTCCGCCGCCGGTACGATCAGATTGTTGGGATGCTTAATAAAGGTCTTCCAATATGCTATATTACATCTATTCTACGCCGGGAAGGCCGTGCACTTTTGATTAGAGCCCGAGATCTCTATAATATGCGGTATAGAGTCGATATTGAACGTCTTAATGGTCGTACACCAATTCAGGCCTTGATCAGCTCAATACCACGTGAAGGTAATTGGTATATAAAATATTAAATACATGAGAATTGTCATGCATGTGTCTGCAGTTTTCTTCAGTCACCGATCATCAATAGACATTCTACGCAGAAAACCCTACGTTTTGATGATGGACTATACGTACAAAACTAATCGATATAACATGCCACTTTTCAATATCATTGGTTTGACGCCGCGGGGAGGTACGTTCTATATTGCCTTTGGCTTTATATCTGACGAGCGGGAAAGCTCGTTCCGTTATATATTAGAACGCCTGGCTGATCCATATACCTTTCTACAGCTTCAACCGCCGGCAGTAGTGGCCATTAATAAAGATGATGCTTTACTAAACACTATATAAAATACATGGCCCTCTACTGCTGCGCTTATATGCATATGGCATATTAATAAGAATATTCTTAGTCATGCAAAATGGGCTATACGCGATTATCTGCTTGTGCAGTCTACGCCTATAGCTTCAACAGCCAATGAGAAGGAGCTTCTTAAGCAGATTAACAATCAATGAAAGACTATACTGGCTAATTGGTATAGCGTTATATCAACACGATCAGTCTCCCAAAAAGATCAGGAATGGACTTGTTTTAAGCAGGTATATCAACATCCTGCATTTCAAAAGCTCCTGCTATATATAGAATCTAAATAGATTCATTATTAAACAAAAAGAGCCTTTCTCTACTGCCATACAAAAACCCATCTGCATTTTGGCCAGGTGGCTACATCTCGCAGTGAGGGATCTCACTAATGAATTAAGCAAGATCTTCAGAGCTCTTTAGGCGATCTACTAAACGTGGTCAGATCGATCGAGCGTACAATTACCAATCATCATCTTCAGATTGAGCAAGCACTTGTAGATGAGTGTATTCAAGCCCCTAGTGATCTACGGACCGAGCCGCTATTTCATGAGGTTATTTATCATATCTCAACCTATGCGCTGAATAAGGTGCTCAGTATACAAAACCGCTATCTACTGATAGGCCCAGGAAAGCCACCGATTGAGCACTGTACTGGGATTACTACGAGAACACTAGGGATCCCGTGTGTTCATATTATTCTACATCATCGCGTATCTAGGGAGCCGCTACCTATCTCAGCATTCCATCCTCAGTGACTAATCCCATGGAATGATCTACTTGAATTGTTTGTCCTATATGATCTAGATCCAGATCCATCAATTGAATGGTCTCATCTACTAAAACTGCTGGTTGTACAGGCCCGTGGAATGCCCCCGGGGTTCTAGAAATCGAGAGATCTCAGGCTTCAACAGACCGAACAAGCGCTCCGGCGGCAAGGCGCCCGGCCAGGTGCCCAGGCAGGCGCTGAGGCAGGTAGTAATCCTATTATACTAGAAGATCCTTTCTAAATATGAAAGATTAAATACTCCAAAGCCAGCGAGTAGGCCAATATATAGTATTACTAATACGCAGTATATTACCTTCCTATCTTGGTATAGCGTGAGGTCCAAATAACAATTCCCTTAATCTAATTGGCCGGCGAGTTCTTCCTATTAGAAAACAAAGCGGTATTCTGGTTGACAATAAATTTGATGGCTACCATAAGGTTAGGATTAATCAAAGGGTTCGAGAAGGCGCGGCTATTAGGAGATAAGCTTAAGACGCGATGAAGGAGAATATATTGTATTTTCATATACGCGTTTGCTAACATGATTGCGCCCTTCTGAAGAGAGGAAGCCCCGCATTATTCCACATGCCATCTCTAAAATCACCTCCAGCAGTTGTTCAGGGTCAACGTCGAACCCGAACAATAGAGTCATTATTTATGCGATCTGTAAGATTTCACATAAGCAAACAGTCGACCAGAATGCCAGCTACTCTTAGCCGAGGCCAAAAAAAAAAAAAAATGAAAGAAGTACGAGTAACAATGCAGCTTTAAGATAATGGCACTTGGGGACAGTTGCTGGACTCACCAGAATGTCCTCCTCTGAAGTGGTTGGCTCAGGCGCACCCACAAAGGGGTTCCTGATCGCGCCACCCTCTGGTGAGTGTGCTTGCAGGTTCGTACATAAGGGGCTTGCCGAGGAGAGGGTGACAAGGAGGGCGACACCCTGGAGGAGAGCAATGGAGAACTTCATGGTTTTATTTGAGAGAGAAGAGTGATGGCAATGGAAAATTATTGGGGGAAGATTGATGGTTGGATGAGAGATGTTAGAGATCAATGTGAACCATATATACTTACAATTTGCACTTTCTCGGAGATTATACATCCCTGTTGGAAACACTTCCCAGTGCCACAGAGACATGGAATTCAGGTTTGTCGGAAGTTTCTGTTCAATGAATCGAGTGAAACCCCTGTATACTCCAATTACCTTGGGGTATTGCGAAACGTCCCTTTCACTATCTAGAAAGTGAGGCGTCGGTATTACGGGGAGGGATGATCTTCCCAATAAGCATACATTTTAACCAAAGCATGACCTAAATTACCTGTCCATATTCAGACGAACCACAACGGAATATGCACATATACTGAATCGGGGCATATAAACGTATTAATGAGAAATTTATAAGTTTAATAGAATGTAATATATGCATCCACTAAAGGTAGTACGTTTGCGTACTAAGCCAGATAAACTAAAATAGAATATGTACATGGACTAGAAGAAAGAGGAGCATGCATATATTGTGGAAACAAAATATGTACATGTACTAAAATGAATATGCAAGTTTACTAAATCTGAAGCTCACGTAGATAGGACCGACGAGGTCTCTTACGACCATTCAGCCTCTCTACTCCTGTACTCGCTAATAATACCTTAGTAAACTGGGGCTGACAGGGATTCCTAAATAAGCAATAGGGAATCTGATCATACCTAAAATACCTTTCTTCGTATTCATGAGTCAAGTAGAAGTACGCATAGGATACCTGATGACGGAGATAATAACATGGCTGAGGGAAAAGCTACTTATCTGTCGGCTACTATAGATCTATCTGACACCCCTCTTGTACTGCCCATAGCAGGACTGCGAGCTTTAGCGTAATATATACTTCTCAACCCAGAACATGGGCCAACAAATTTATTTTCATCTACTGTTGGCTTGTATCCTTGACGTATCTAAAGATACTCATACTCCCTCCTAACCACCAAAGGGCGTGGCAATTTATGAAATATGGGCTTCGTGTATGAAAGGTAATAAGGTTCCAACATGGTACGGTATTTGAAGGCTATTGAAGGCTTATATTTTGAACAGGGTTAATGGCAAGATTCCAGATCCTGAGCTATCCATATCAGAAGATGCCCCTGAAGAGGGGAACTTGTTGCGAAACAGCAATATTGAACAGTCCAAGAGCAGTACGAGGAATGTTACAAGACTATTGTGCTCTCATAAAGCTCGTATTGCTCGAGGTATTCTCATCGGTCTACTCGCCCTGTGGGGCTTGTTCAGCATCATTCAAAACATTGTTCTCTCAACACACCACAAACCGCCGCCGAAGCACTGCTATTGCGGTAACTCCACAGCTGAGGCGGTATCCCTTAGTTGCAAATTCGACTCCCTAGCAGTGGCCTGGCTGCCTTCCTACTGCCGCGATGAAGAACTGACAGCGGAGTTCGAGAGATCTGGCCCGGGACCCAACGGGAGTTGGACATACTTTGCCGACGACCATCACACGATACCTATGACGATTGAGGAAGTTGCGGCTTTTGCAGGTAACCAGAGTGCAAAGGTGATGATGATGCGGGAGTGGCATGTGGTACATTGTCTTTTCTACTGGAGGAAACATTTCCGTGTGCGTTTTTAGGGAGGCAGAAGGCGCCATTGTAGAGCCAAGCTTTGATGTGAGGAACACCTCACTCATTGCGCAACACTTATTTTAGAGGATAGTTGGGGGACTGAGGTAAGGATTGCGCTCGATCCTGAGCAAGATTTGCCCTTCTTTGTGGGTAATAAGAGGATTTCGCTGTGAATAGATTGATAAACATTTAGGTGAACGATTTTTATTCTTTCGCAAAGCCTCAATAAAAATCATGTTCCTCGATCTTAGTTAGATCAAATAGCTTTACGAAAATCTATTTAGTGATACAGGGCTGAAGCATGCTCAACATAGTTCCAACTGAAGAAAAAAAGCGTTCGCAGGAGTGGATTTCGAATCTGCAAAAGCTGATGTTCTGCGATAAACTGGAAAGAGAACATACAAAAAACTGGCGAGAGTGGGGTTCGAACCCACGCGACTTTCGTCAACAGGGATTTAGATAAATCTTAGATAAGATCTAAGAGATATCTCTTAAATCTGTCGCCTTAACCACTCGGCCATCTCGCCTTCAATATCATATTAATTATTCCTGGTTTAGACTGTATTCTAGATAGAAAGCGTGAAAACTAAAAAGAAAGAACATGACTAACTTGAGCAATGTTCAAGGCCCATACTATATATCATTGGCATTATCATGATATAAGGTCAAAATGCAGTGCCATTTGCATGTTGCTATCGTGAGATAGCGAACCCTAAGATATTTGATCTCATCGTTAGGACCGGGGCCGGCGGCGAAACCGAAGGGTTCAGGCATTGTGAGGAAGCGGTGGTTAAGATAGAACTGATGATCTTACATGGTATTTTCTGTACATTTATACCTATAGACGGATAATGCTACTTAATATGTTGGATGACGAACATGTGAAGATCGGGACCAAGAAAATCCATACATTTCCAGCATGAACAACTTGAATCCATACTTCCTGTAGGAAGACTACAACATGCTTGCTCCTCTAACTTGCCTTCTATTTAACGTCATTTAATCGCACCTAAATAGCAGATACCACCTCGATATGCTGAAGATTATGGAAAGGCGGTGCCAATCTCTGCCGTCGCTTCTCAGCTAAACCTCAACTTCAAGCAAACCTACTTGATGGATGGTGACCAATACTGCAACGTCGTGCTTGGTAGTTCACCTCTACACTTGACCTTTTTGGAACTACTACCTGGCTCCTCCTTCTAAGAATGCTTTGCAGGGGAGGCTGACAAATTTTGTTCGTTACTACACTTATGAGGGTAGGTGGGTTTTCTCCCTTCTTTAAAAAGAAAGGCTTCAAAGATTGTAATTACTACAATGCTGTAGCGCAATGCTGAACCCACGCTTAAATAATGTGCCTGTTGCTAAGAATATATTGATTCATCAGAAGTGGTTTATACACTCTAGGTATTGAGCCCTTCTAGGACTCGATAGGCTGTAACTATAATACTATAGGTTTTTATAGCTTGGAGTAAACACCTTTGCAGGTGTTATCATCTTATTATCGCTTGCTGAGAGGTATATGCCTTCCCTAATAGGGAATACATTTTTGTTCTGCAGTAACCGCATTCTTTGCTATTAATATCCGCCTTGACTTAGTAACGGGAAGATAGACAGCGACTAATTTGCATCTGTGATAGAAGTCAGTAAATGCTAAGAGGTTTAAGTAGGCTATATCTTGAGAAGATTATACCGGACTCTTGGTGTACACATACTCCATTTCTAGTGTCGCACAGACACTCAAATTCACCGCGCCAAGTGTTGATTAAAATTTAAATAGAGCGCTTCCCTCGCCTGAGATACATCGGGTTGACTAATGACACAGTACACAGTTGGCTCATCGGCGGCTACAGAGTCAGATCAGTACTAACGAAAACAACTATAACTAATAGCGCTTGTAGTTTCACATACCATACGATATTAGATGAACAGGAATGCAACAAGCGCTCAGAATCGAAAATATCGGAGACAGCATTTCGCTGCTGTAGTCCTTGGATGTAATATGCACCGAAAGCATAACCATGTCCCCTAATAAGGCAATCCGACTATATGCCTGCAGCTCTACTTGAGCTTTGTTTAGGGATTTTTCACTGGCCGTGCTCGTCTCGATCGCCATGGTGACACAGTTATCGCTGGTCAATAAAAGCTCCACGGGAATATTTAAGTCATTGATGATGGAGAAAACTCGAGCGTAGAAGCCATAATGTGTCAGTTGCCTATTTGAATGTACGCTGAGAAGGCACATTTGTTCTTTCACGGAGATTGACACATGGCGTTCCGGGCACTGACCCATGTTCTGATGTGTTGGGTGAGGAGGTCCGCTGAACAAGAGTAATGGGCTCGTTCTGTCCTTGCCTTCCGTTGAGTCACTCGTCGTGTATTTCAGGCTTGTGAAGGTTCTCTCGGAAATCTGGTAATCTTCTTTCCTTTTGATGGCAGGATAATTATAGCCACTAACCCCAAAATGCTAATATGCAGCAAATTCACACGTCATATATTGTAAAAAATTTCGAGCCATAAAACAACCCAGCAAGATACTTGAAGTACAGTCAATGTCTGTCAAGAGTATAGAAATTTGAAATGGGCGTCGACGGGAATGTATGTTGATCATACCGAAAAGGGGCAAGTCTTTTCGATAGTGGAAAATCTGCAAATAACGCCATATTTATGGGTCCGCAAGTCCCGGGGACCAAAAAAAAAAAAAAAATGCCACGGGAAGCATCCAAACACGGAGCGATGGACAAACATCCATATTAATCTGCATGACGCAATGGAAGGGACAAAAATTGCCGATAGTGACGAGGACGCAAGGGGCTTCGGCTGTATCTAAAACCTGATCGTTTGAATTGCTCTAAGGAAAAGCAACATTGCATTCGGAAAACAGCCTGGGACAAAGAACCCGGACTTATTGAGCTGTTGTCAAACCGACCTTTTGGCCTTTCACAATGGCTGATATATATGTTAGATACCTTTTCTGTAGCGGGCTGAGGCCCGGGGATGGACCCGGGCCTGAGGCCTTCATAGTTAGGTTATCATGTGACAACCCCATGTATATCTTGATATATTTCTAGTTTGTTCTTCTTTCTTCTCCAACGATTTCTCTTATTTAGCATATCACAATACTATGTGATTCAACTCTTGATATTAGAAATTGTTCGCCTTATTCCTTTTACTTCATCGGACACCGGATCAAACGTCATAACAAACGGAAAATATTGAAATAGACGAATCAACGGAACAGCACCGACCTGAAGATATCGGAGGCTCCAGCTCAATGAATCGGATTATAGATGTTAAAGACTACAATTAAAATCAAATATTAGACTTACAGAGCAAGCAGATATAGGAAATACTAAAATAAATATAACTATTAACTACTATTAATCTACCAAGTTCCTAGTCAGGAAGACACATGCCTATTTACTCAACAGATGATATAGACAATAATAGTTTAAGTTATTATATTAAGACTACAATGAGAAACGCAGTCAATACCCAGGCTAAGTTAATACAACAACTCATGGCCCGTATTAATCAACTCGAAGCTGATCAAGGCAGCCGAGCCGCCCAAGCCGGTATGTTGGTGCAGCCTGTAGAACCAAGACGCCCGCGCTTAAAGTTACCCAACCCTGAACCCTATGATGGAACCAAGAGATTGCTCTACAAAGCCTGCGACTTGCTCGGCGGGGATTCCACGCAGGATTCTAAGCCGGCTATACTAATTTTAGCTATGTACCTCTAGATAGTCTAGCAAGACCCACCAATTTTGATGGACCTATCAAGACCAAGAAGGGTATTAGAACATGTAAGGAATCAGTGCTCGAATTCACTCGCAATGAGATAAAAGAGACTGTCGAGGACCTTTCTTGGTTAATAATATTGAACATGGCAGCACAATAGATGATTTTTACCTGGTTTAAGATCAACCCTAGTTGGAGCTGGGCGGGGCAAAGATTGCGACTTGAATTCAGGTGCTCTAATGTGAGTGGTATATCATCAACAACGGTATAGAGGGAATCACTGTCTCTATAACATTCACTTGCCGACAGAATATTCTTATGTTAGATGTGATAGAAATAATGTAGTATTTTCTTTATAATATCTACAAGGTACTTCTAAATCACTATAATTCTAGAAGAGCGAGAGTAATAAGTAGTAATAATTATAATACCTACTAGTAGTTAATAGCTAAAATGTGTCTGAAAGATATTTCAGGGGAGATTTATTTCTCATAATCAATGCCCGGCGTGTATCTGCGTGCTCGATGACTTGAGGGAGGCCCAAACCTTTCGGCGAACCCTTGATAATTTTACCAGCCCGCTTGGTCGTGGGTGATCGAGAGGCTGAGGAGAGAGCAGTTGCAGAGCGAGTCGAGCAGGAGAGACTAGCCAGAGAGCTCGAAGAGAAGGCAATTGCTGAGCAAGAGCGACTAGCTAGAGAAGCCAAAGAACAGGCTGAATGTGACCAGGTGGCCAGGGAAACGGCGATCCAAGCGGAACAGGAACAGCTAGCCAGAGAGGCTAAAAAACAAGCCAAACAGGACCGACTGGCCCAACAAGTGGCTGAAAAAGCCGAGCAGGAACGTACTGAACAAGAACATATCCAACAAAAAAATTTCGAGAGGGAGGCCGCAGCCCAGGCTGAACGAGACTGACTGGCCAGTGAAGCGGTGACCCAAGCGGAATAAGAGCGACCGGCCAGGGAGACAGAAGAAATAGAACAGGACTGACTAGTTAAAATAGCTGCAAAGCCAGCGGAGCAAGAACGCATCCAATAGGAAACTACCGAGAGGGAGGCTGCATCCCAGGCTGAACGTGACCGGGTAGACCAAGAAGCCGAGGAGAGAGCACTTGTAGAGTGAGTTAAACAGGAGCTAGCCAGGGAAACCGAAAAGCAGACCAGACGTGACAGATTGGCTGAAGAAGTTGCGGGGCGGGTAGCTGTTGAGAGAGCTGAATAAGAGCCGCTCGTCAGAGAAGCCGTAGAGAAAGCAAGTACGGACGCGGCCGAACGCGTGGCAGGAGGGGCCGAGCAAGAGCAGGCAACAACAAAGAACACTGGTGCAGATCTCAACCAAA